CACTGCGTTCAATTGCAAAATTGTTGCTGTCGTAGCTGCTGCTGCTGCTGCTGCTGCTGTGTTTATTCCGTTTCTGCTTCGGTCATGGTGATCATATTCCCTGTACCAGCTCATGATGTGATCACTACACGCAGGTTTACCTATCTCATTCGTATTGCTCCTTCGTTTTGTTGTCGCGATTCTTTGCAGTGTACGTGCACGACTTCCAGCGCAGGAGTGGCAGTGGTGCGGTTGTTCCGAGGAGGCGGGGAATACCGGAGCTGCATGATCTACCTAGTAGCACACAGGTTTCAGTCGGTATCGTTGGGTTTTGGCAGTGCCTTAAGCCGTGGCGAAGTCCCAAGCTCTAATAGTCAGAACCCTTTTCGGTTTCAGAGTTGTTGTCGGTTTGGACTCAATTGCTGCGAGGTCTGTGCACCAGCCGGAGGGGTCTGGAAGATGCACACGTGCGCGGCGGAATTGTCATACTGGCCCCTCAAGTGGCTCGGCATGGCTGAACCCTAAGTGCCCGAAGACTTATAACTCAAACATATATTCGCTTCGAGAGCTGTTCGGAAGGTTTTTCATACATGTGTCAGCGTTAGCAAAGTCTTGCAGCATCTTGTTTTTCGATGCTGACGCTTGTGCCCAGATGTTCGTTTGCTTCTTTGGCCCTTTTTCTAGGTTAAGGAACATCAAGGGCTTAATGTAAATCTATTAGTGTCTGCAAGCAGAACGACCTCCAGTCAGACTTTCAGCAGTGACCGAACGTTTGTCCCGAAGGCACATGAGTTTGGCTTTAGCAAGAAGACCTTCGCGAGTCTTCCGAAGCGCTTGGATTTAGATTTAGGTAAGGGTTGCTTCTTTGGCCAGTTGATGTTCTGTCTTTGTTTTGTCGTGTTCTGCTCGTCTATTGAACTTTCGCCAGGCTTCATAGAAGTTTGGACGTAGGACGCTAGGGCACATCTTTTCATGTAGCACGCAGCATGACATCCCCAAAATTCGCAGTCCTCAAGACCCCTCTACTTGAAAGGGATATGAGTAGGGATTCCACTAAACAGGCTCTTCAAGAAAGGGGGACTGTGTCCCAGGAGTCTAAATGAAGCCCTAAACCCGAAACCCTAAACACGAAAGACAGAAACCTTTCTGAACGGAACTGCAGAGTGACCCTGTGATGTCGCAGGATGCATCGAGCCCTTCAGGACCGGGTGTCTGACGCTAAGCCATGAATCCTCCAACCCTAAGCCCTAAACCCGTAACTCTAAGCCCTAGTTCTTGTCCTAAGCCCTCCTAAAACCTTCGAAACACGTTACGCCATCTGACCTCGAAACACTTTAAACCCTCTCAGCCCTCAGCTCCACACAGTGCAGCCTAAGTAAGCCGCAAATAACCTTAAACCCTAAACCCTAAACCCAGTTTGTGCACAGGAGGCTGCTGAGGAGGGTAGCTGCGCGGATCTCGAGTACGAGGGAGACCTCCAAGGGGAGACGCAGTGGGTTTCCCAGAAACCCAGTAGCTAACTAGTACGTTTCTGACCCTTGTGGGCTGTCTTGAATCCTACCATACAAAAGGGGTTGAGATTTGTGGGGCCAGGGAACTTTGCAGCTAAGGAAATGCTGCGCCTCCTTCCCAGCCTCAGTCTGCAACCCCACGGCCAAGAAGATGACGCCGTGCAAGGACGAAGCCGACTTCATGCCGTCGAACGTTTTGCACGAGTGGTGTGAACTCAATCCGATTCCCGATGCAAGCACTTGCGCGAGCCACGGGTGTCACGGGGACGGCAGCTACTGCCATTGTGAAAGCCATAGCAGTTGCGCGTCCCTTGGTGGGTCATGGAAGACGTGGTCATGCGGCGAGGACCTTGTCCATAAGGATGTTGCATGGCACCAGGCTGTGGCGCAGGCCTCCGACGAGGGCACCTGCGCGGAGTCCAGAGTGCACGACAGCACCGTGGCGGACGCGATCTCCTGGAGCAGTCGGAAGTGCTGCTCTTCTTTCCCCGCCAACGTTTGCTACAAGCATGTGAAGAAGATGATGCCATGCAAGGACGAAGCCGACTTCATGCCGTCGAACGTTTTGCACGAGTGGTGCGAGTTTCACGGGACGGTCCCGGAAACATGCGGCACGACAAAGGGCTGCCATGCCGGGGAGGGCTGGTGCCACTGCGACAACTCCGAAGCCTGCACTGCTGCTGGGGGAGCCTGGAACCAGCGGACCTGTGATGCGGCAGTTCAAGAATGGGACTCCGAGAAACACCTAGCGGTGCAGAGTGCTGCCACGGGCAGCTGCGAGGATGTTGATTGGCACGGACAGCCGATCTCGGTTTCGTTGCAGCACGAGTCCTCGAAGTGCTGTGCCTCCTACCCAGCCTCAGTCTGCAACCCCACCGCCAAGAAGATGACGCCGTGCAAGGACGAGGCCGACTTCATGCCGTCGAACGTTTTGCACGAGTGGTGTGAACTCAATCCGATTCCCAATGCCAGCACCTGCGCGAGCCACGGGTGTCACGGGGACGGCAGCTACTGCCATTGTGAAAGCCATAGCAGCTGCGCGTCCCTTGGTGGGTCATGGAAGACGTGGTCCTGCGGCGAGGACCTTGTCCATAAGGATGTTGCATGGCACCAGGCTGTGGCGCAGGCCTCCGACGAGGGCACCTGCGCGGAGTCCAAAGTGTACGACAGCACCGTCGAGGACGCGATCTCCTGGAGCAGTCGGAAGTGCTGCTCTTCTTACCCCGCCAACGCTTGCTACAAGCATGTGAAGAAGATGACGCCATGCAAGGACGAGGCGGACTTTTTGCCAGGCAACTTCCTGCACGAGTGGTGCGAGTTTAAGGGGACGGTCCCGGAAACATGCGCCACGACAAAGGGCTGCCATGCCGGGGAGGGCTGGTGCCACTGCGACAACTCCGAAGCCTGCACTGCTGCTGGGGGAGCCTGGAAGCAGTGGACCTGTGATGCGGCAGTTCAAGAATGGGACTCCGAGAAACACCTAGCGGTGCAGAGTGCTGCCACGGGCAGCTGCGAGGATGTTGATTGGCACGGACAGCCGATGTCGGTTGCGTTGCAGCACGAGTCCTCGAAGTGCTGTGCCTCCTACCCGGCCTCTGTTTGCGACCCCACCGCCAAGAAGATGACGCCGTGCAAGGACGAAGCCGACTTCATGCCGTCGAACGTTTTGCACGAGTGGTGTGAACTCAATCCGATTCCCAATGCCAGCACCTGCGCGAGCCACGGGTGTCACGGGGACGGCAGCTACTGCCATTGTTCCAGCCATACCAGCTGCGCGTCGGTTGGTGGGTCATGGAAGACGAGCACCTGCGCCGAGGACCTTGGCCATAAGGATGTTGCATGGCACCAGGCTGTGGCGCAGGCCTCCGACGAGGGCACCTGCGCGGAGTCCAGAGTGTACGGCAGCACCGTGGAGGACGCGATCTCCTGGAGCAGTCGGAAGTGCTGCTCTTCTTACCCCGCCAACGCTTGCTACAAGGGTTTGAAGAAGATGACGCCATGCAAGGACGAGGCGGACTTTTTGCCAGGCAACATCCTGGAAGAGTGGTGCAAGTTTCACGGGACGGTCCCGGAAGCATGCGCCACGACAAAGGGCTGCCATGCCGGGGAGGGCTGGTGCTACTGCGACAACCACGAAGCCTGCACTGCTCTTGGGGGAGCCTTGAACCAGCAGACCTGTGATATGGGAGTTCAAGAATGGGAACCCGCGAAGCACAAGGCTTTGCAAGAGGCTTACGAGAACGGCACCTGTGGTGTCGACAGCACATACGGCGATCTGGTCATGATGATTGACCATCCAGCCCGGCAGTGCTGCGCCTCCTTCCCAGCCTCAGTCTGCAACCCCACGGCCAAGAAGATGACGCCTTGCAAGGACGAGGCCGACTTCATGCCGTCGAACGTTTTGCACGAGTGGTGTGAACTCAATCCGAGTCCCAATGCCAGCACCTGCGCGGGCCACGGGTGTCACGGGGACGGCAGCTACTGCCATTGTTCCAGCCATAGCAGTTGTGCGTCCCTTGGTGGGTCATGGAAGACGAGCACCTGCGCCGAGGACCTTGGCCATAGGGATGTTGCATGGCACCAGGCTGTGGCGCAGGCCTCCGACGAGGGCACCTGCGCGGAGTCCAGAGTGCACGACAGCACCGTGGAGGACGCGATCTCCTGGAGCAGTCGGAAGTGCTGCTCTTCTTACCCCGCCAACGCTTGCCACAAGGGTTTGAAGAAGATGACGCCATGCAAGGACGAAGCCGACTTCATGCCGTCGAACGTTTTGCACGAGTGGTGCGAGTTTCACGGGACGGTCCCGGAAACATGCGGCACGACAAAGGGCTGCCATGCCGGGGAAGGCTGGTGCCACTGCGACAACTCCGAAGCCTGCACTGCTGCTGGGGGAGCCTGGAACCAGCGGACCTGTGATGCGGCAGTTCAAGAATGGGACTCCGAGAAACACCTAGCGGTGCAGAGTGCTGCCACGGGCAGCTGCGAGGATGTTGATTGGCACGGACAGCCGATGTCGGTTGCGTTGCAGCACGAGTCCTCGAAGTGCTGTGCCTCCTACCCGGCCTCTGTCTGCGACCCTACCGCCAAGAAGATGACGCCGTGCAAGGACGAAGCCGACTTCATGCCGTCGAACGTCGTGCACGAGTATTGTGAGCTGCATGGCGCCTCGGTGGACTCGGACACCTGCACGGCCCACGGCTGCCGCAGCAACCATGGCCATTGTCATTGCGACTCGCAGCCAGGTTGCGAGGGGGTGGGTGGCACGTGGAAGGTGACCAGCTGTGAGATGGAGATCGGCTACTGGGAACCCGCGAAGCACAAGGCCTTGCAAGAAGCTGAGGAGAGCGGCACCTGTGGTGTCGACAACATGTACGGCGATCTGGCCATCATGATCGACCATGCCGCCACGAAGTGCTGCGCCTCCTTCCCCGCCACGCTCTGCGACAAGACCGCCCGCCACATGACTCCGTGCAAGGATGACGCCGACTACACCCCGGAGAAGGAGATGTACGCCTGGTGCGACTTCTACGGCGATGGAGCGGTTCTCCCTGAGGAGAAGAGTTCACAGACTGCGACGTAGCATGACATAGTAGGTCTGACGCGTTCCTCGTCACCGCTCTTCTCCGCTGCACCTTGCACAATCATTCCATCTTCTCATGCTTTCTTCCCAGATCTTCACAGAGCTTTCTCGCCAGGAGACGGTCTGCAACGCTCAAGAGGGTTGCTACGGTGGACAGGGCTGGTGCCACTGCGATGGCGCGACAGGCTGCCAGGCAACGGGTGGCATCTGGAACGCGCACACCTGCGCGAAGGAGGTGTCCCAATGGAGGCACAAGGGCTGCGCCCATGGCTGTCACGAAGGAACTGCCCTAAACCCTTAAGGGCCCTAAACCCTATCCGCACTGAGTGTACAAGACGGGGTGCATGGCATATTAGAGCCAATCCCAGGTCCTGACGGGGTCCAGGCCGCCAGACGGTGAAGAGCCCCAACAAAAAGCAGCCCCAAAGTCCACATCCTAGCTGGCCCGACTGCCCTGACAGTCCGGAGCAGCACAAGATGTTGCAGAAGGCGGACGAGCACGGCACATGCCTCGACCTTGAGGCCTGAAACCTTCGTGCGGAGTAGCACCATATCCGTAGCAGTGGCAGCAGCAGTGGCAGTAGGTAGTGTCAGGGGTCGTAGTAGTCGTAAAGGTCCTAGAAGAACTCGTCGTTGTCGCAGTGGCAGTGGCAGTGGCAGTCGCAGTCGCAGAAGCTGTAGCAGAAGCTGTAGCAGCAGCAGTTTAGTAGTAACGCCAGTAGTTAGTAGTAGCAGCAGCAGCAGCAGCAGCAACAGCAGCAGTGGCATTCGCAATGGCAGCAGCAGTCGCAGTGGCAGTAGCAGTCGAGTGTAGTGGTGCTACCACTAGCATGACCACATATGACCACTACTACCGGTACCGACCATCTACTACCCGCTACCCCCTACACCCTAGCAGCCCTAGCACCTACTACGACGACGACTACTACTCCTACTACTGCGACTGCTACTGCTACGGCTACGGCTACGCCTACGGCTACCACTACGGCTTCAGCTACGGCTGCGGCTGCGGCTGCTGCTGCCGCTACTGCTACTGCTACTGCTGCTGCTGCTGCCGCTGCTCCTGCTGCACCTGCCGGTACTGTTGCTATTGTCACTGCTAGCTACAGCAGCATAAGGGCCAACATTGATAGGAACGATTCGCAGGGGCTGCCTTAGTACAGCTTCAGTCCTGCCTCCCAGCCGCTGCTGTTCCATGCAGGTCCATGGTATGCGTGCTCAGGACGCGGAGCACAGTGAAGGGCCTCTTTGTCAGAAGGGGAGTGTCGCAGCTGGCCCTGGCTGCCCAGGACTTCGTGAACTGGCCGGCCCAGCAGTGCTGCAAGTCCTTCCCGGCGAGCATCTGTGACAAGGACGTCAAGGCCATGACGCCTTGCCTGCGCAGCCAGGACAGAGATCTGGGCTTTCAAAGCCGGGTTCCGGTTTGAGGGGGCTTCCGGGCCGCGCAGGACTTCGACCACAACAAGACGATGTGGGCTTGGTGTGAGGGGCTCTACCCGGTACCTGCCGAGGCAGACTGCCTGGCACAGGCAAGACGATGCCGAAGGGTTCTCCTTAGAAGTCCTTGCAGTTGAAGCGCGCCTCTTTTTCTCGAGTTCCCTGGCTCCAGGGCTGCACTGGCAACGAGCACCACTGCCACTGTGAAACCGCTGCTGCCTGCACTGCCCTAGGCTGGACAAAGGTGTTTTGCCTGTTCCGATTTGTACCAGAAATCGCTCTCATTCTGTCAGGCGGCAAGTACGTCGAGCACCAGTGCTGGCAGGACCTGCAGTGGATGGCAGCCGAGGTTCACAAGGCACGGGGCCTTCCTGATGCTCCTCTTGTGCCCAGCATGTCCCATTGCCTCGCAGGGCATCGCTAAAGCCATCGGCCAGGGCACTTGACGCTCGGAGCAGACGAGAGCGCCCACCATTTTTCAATGCATCATATTCCCCTCTCGAAATGTTTACCCAGCACAAATCTAGGTCAGATGTGCACAGGCAACAAAACCAGCGATGCGATGATGATGATGGACCCAAAACGGCTCAGGTGGGCCATGATGGCCCTCAAACCCCAAACCCTAAACCCACAATCCCAAAACTCAAGACGTTGAAGTCAGTCTTCTTCTGGGCAGACGAGGTGAGGATGTTGAGGCACAGCATGGCAAGCTCGAGTATGCCGTCGACTGGCTAGGCGGGCCGCGCTTTGGTGATTCTTCCCAGAATAGTTGGCCCCACCATCATGTAGCTTTGCCTTGGTCAGGACTCTTTGTAGGACATGTAGTCTGCTTTATAAGGATCTGTAGAACGAAGTTCAGAGCACCTTTCAGCCTGAACCCTAAACCCTAAACTCTAAACCCTGACCGGGAAAGCTTAGACCCTAAACCCGAATACTGAAAGCCTAAAACCCCAAACCCCAAGAGTGACACCTTAAACCCTAGGAAAGCTTTGGGTTTGGGGGGTCAGGGACCCGTATGAAGCCCTTATGAACCCCCAATCGAGCCCTTATACAACCCTGTCAACCCCCTTGTAAGGGCCTGTATGAACCACCCTAAAGCCTAAACCCTAAGCCCATAGGAACCGTGCGTCTCTTAGGCCTGAAACATTCATAGCTGCACCCGACACCTGGACCTTGAACCCTGCGCCCGAATTCCTGAACCCGAAAGAGACAAGAAGCCCCAAACCCCCAACCTTACATCCTGAGCCACCAGAAAACGAAAGAAGCCTAAACCATTAAACCCTAAACTCTAAAGCCCTACTAGAACTACTGACCCCTGTCACCCCTACTAATACCAGTAAGGCAAGTGACCCTCTGAACCCTACTAGCCCTAGTAACCCTATTACCTCAGCCCAGTAACCCCACTGAACCTAGCAAGCCTGCTCAAGGGATCATGGGACTTAGCAAGCTGGGGATACCAGTAAGGTAACTATACTCGTAATTGCTTCCCTAAACCCTAAACCCTAAACCCAAAACCCTAAAAAAAACCGTAAACCCAAAAAACTGAGCTACTTATCTAACCTTACTTGCTAAGTCCCATGATCCTGCAAGTACGACGGTGGATGATATAACTCCTGGATGACCCATAATAAGGAACATGCCATCATTCCCAGAGTTTAGGGCCCTTAAGCTAAGGCTCAGGATTTCTATAAATCCACCGTAGGTCTAGGAGCGCCTTACTACTGGAAGGCTCCAGCTGCTGTGCCTCTGGCATGTCCGTTTGCCAGGCCTCCGCCTCGCTGAACTTAAAATTTTGGGTTTAGGGTTTAGGGCTTAGGGTTGAGGGCTTAGGGATTAAGGTTTTTCGGAAGAGCCCAAAGGGGATCCATGACTTATCGTGACTGCCTTTCGGTGGGGTTGTATGTTGTACGGTGGGCTATTGATGCATGTGGAGTTCCTTACTCCTTTGCAGGTTGTTTTAGGGCGTTGATGTTGCAGGAGCTGGCGACGGGTGGAAGCCTCTACTAGTCTCGCGCATCAGACGCGGGCACGCGGAGACGCCTCAGTTCCTGTGCCACGGACTACCTCTCCGACACTACGGGTGGGCCCCGCTCTTAAAGATTACCTGGTGATCATTATGGTTCGCTGTTGCAGTTGCCTTAAGCCGACCATCTGTCCGACTTCAGAGGCTCCGAGAATCTGTCGAGATAGGGCCCAATAGAGGCTGGGAGTTTATGTGGCGTGGGGGGGAACCGGCTGTGAGTTTCGGATGCGGTGATGTAGCTACCACGGCCTGCATCGCAGGTTGTGGGATTCGCAGTTTCTGAAGCTCGTCGCCTGAATCTCTGAGCTTCCGCTCTGTGAGAAAAAAAAGGCCGGTCGCCTGTATCATCCCCTCAACCCTAAGCCACTAAAGTTCACTAAAGCTGCTTCTGTCTGGGAGTGCCGTGCTTTTGGCAGCAGAACATTGGCTTGTTGGGGGTCCTGCAGCCGCGAGCATCTGCATCACAAACTTTACTCACTTGCACCGACGCTTCGAGATTGCCACGATGCTTGGCCAAAATCCCTTATAGGATCCCTCAGCCAGCCCGTATAGGAACCCTTGACAGGCATTCTTATCGGATGTTTCGAGAGCTTAAAGACGGCAGATGCTGCTCTGACCGAGGATGGCCTCGAAGTCGAACATGTGTTTTCTTCTTCCAGTGCTGCTGGCCTTTGCAAGGGCCTCCGAGCTCTGCGATGCGGGAGACCTTCAGAGATGCGGCACAGGGAGGGAGAGAGAGAGAGAGAGAGCCAGCTACCACGAAGCCAACACAGAGAGAGAGAGAGAGAGAGATACGAAGAAAGGTATCGACAGACCCGAGCGCATAGCAGAGCAACAGGGAAGCAGAACAGAGAGAGCACACATGCAGCAGTGTGTTGAAGGACCGAACAGTTGTGCTCTTGTGCTGTTGCGATGGGGCGCAGCGTATGTGGCCCCCTATTGGGGAAACTTCAGATGGGGCGAGGCCAGAATACGCGCAGGTTACAAGTAGATTTGGGGGTTGGAGCGTGTCCGGACCACGGCCTCATTTACGCGGCAAGCTTCACGGCGACCGAGAACAGGGGCCGTCTGGCCGATTGGAAAAGGAAGAAGAGAAGAGAGAGGGACAGAGAGAGAGAGAGAGTCTATTTGGACTTTGAGTTCGCAGAACAAGTGCTTGTCCCATACGCGGCTATGTACGACATACCACCATTGTGGTACGGCCATCTTGGGCTGTGGGCTACCAAGCCCACATCGCTACAGAAAGCTATTCACCCCGTCCCCGAGAGGACCCTGCAGGTGACATGTCAATCGACTTGAGTCAAACGTCTCTGGATTCTTCAGCCGTCTCAGGTACAGCTTGAAAGCAAAGGATGTAGCAATTCTCGTTGATGGTTTTTTGGAATGCTTGCTGACAGACTTTGGCTCGGACATCGTCATCCGTACACCACCAGTTTTTTGCGGACCCCTCTTCGTCTCCGGCGTGCGTGACGACGGCGATCCTGTCGACTGAAGAAAGCGGGCGCACCTGCCAGCATCTGGGGTGCGGGATTAAGTGATCTGTCAGTATGAAATGGTAAACCGGCTCCCTGGGGGGCCGAGACGAGGCCGCTGCCGGAAACGGGTGCCAACCAAAATGGACCTGGGCAGGTGCATGTGCAGGGGCATGGGTATAGGCGGAAACGGGAGCATGGATGTGAGATTGGAAACAGACTACCATCCTAGCGGAACTGTAGTAGCAGGCGCCCATCATGTCGGCTGTCTTTGCTCAGTGTGCCTTCCGCTAGAACATAGCTGTACGGTATGATTTCACACGTAGTCGTTCACTCTGTGCTCGAGATGGAATCCGTCCCTGTGCAGTGCTCTGAGATTTACCTCAAGCACGACTTCCGCTCCTGGCCTCAGATGCGTCATCTTGGTGCCCAGATGCAGATGAGCCCGGCCCCTGGAGGGGCCGCCAGGGATAAGTCCTTGGCCTTTCAGTGAGCGGGATGAGAGGTCGTCCGCCTGGGACGTGGCAGAGCGTTTGGGCCGGCTGTTGTTAGTCGGAGAACTTCCGATGCCGTCACACCCAGGCGGCGGAGCTGCTGGAGGACCAGTCGCTACTGCTCTCCGTCTCCTCCCCCTCCAGGTGGTCGGTAGGATTCCGTGGTTCCTCGGTCGATGTTGCGACTTTGGTCTGTCGTTTGCGGACTCTCTTCGGACCTTGACCTTCCGGACTCCAGCATTGCGAGCAGCTCCCGCCTTGGGGGTCGTACCCGAAAACTTTGGCTTCCAGATGACGGTGCTACCAATCGTACACAAGCCAAGAGAGGATGATGTTTTAGCCCGTCGCACGGAGTCACTGCAGACCTGAAGAAACCATAGTTGTCCATTACGGACGCACCCGAAGAAGAATGCACAAGCCCTCCGGACATTGGATATGAGAGATGACTTCAATAGGGTTGTGGTGTAGCCCAACAGGACGTCTGGGCCGGGCTGAGCTTGGACAGGCACCTTCAGCAGCCGGGCGACCTGGTCTTTGGCGACATTCCCATCGTGAGGAACTGTCGATAATGTGGCACAGGTGGTGCAGTGACCATCGCTGCTTGCACAAGGGCCCTCGCTGTTGTGTCCGGCACCCCAATGGGGGCCGACAACGCAGGACCGCGGCCCCGCCGCGGACACAGCGGTGGTGCGTAATGCAGGGGATTCTGTCATCATGCCTCGTTGTTCTTCAAGCCATTGCTGAAAATGCTGTACCGGTGTGCTGGCTGACTCGATTGCCTCACCATGCTTATGCGTGCGTACACTCTCCAGCTCCCTGTGGGGGCCGACTGAGGCTCACGACTTGTCGTTGATTGGTTGGTGGGTGCGGCCCCCATCCTGCGACGCACACGACGCTTGGGCGTTGTAGGCGTGGTGGGCTCGCGGAGGATTCCATGATTCGCCTGACTGAAGCACGTCCTGAGTTCCCCATGTGTTGGGCGAACAACATCCTGTCTATCCGGTTCTGCCGCAGCTGCACTCCACTCTGCCTTGTTGGTAATATCGATCTTGTTTCGAGACTTGCTGGATTGTAGATAAGCAGCGACAGGAGGCATTGTTGTAGACGTAGCACGAGCATCCATGGCATAGGCACCCGACCATTTATATACAGGCTTTGCTAGTAGAGCCGGTCTGTGCCGTGGTGTTTACAGAGAAAGGGAGAGAGAGAGAGAGAGAGAGAGAGAGAGAGAGAGAGAGTTTGCAAGCGGGGGATGAATCGCTGAGTATTTCTCATACTGCTGGGGAAAGCAAATACTGCCCCCAGAAAGACCAAGAACACGGCTGCGCGCACGCGTGGGGGGGAGTTCCTCTCTGGGGGCGCCCTCTCGTAGCCGCTAGCAAGCAAGCACGCAAGACAGAGAGAGAAAGAGAGACAGAGAGAGAGAGAGAGAGAGAGACAGAGAGAGAGATCGAGACAGAGAGAGAGAGAGACAGGGAGAGAGAGAGAGAGACAGAGAGAGAGAGCGAGACAGAGAGAGAGAGACAGAGAGAGAGAGAGAGACAGACAGAGAGAGAGAGAGAGAGACAGAGAGACTTTTTGACTTTGCATT